CGGTTCGCGGCGGCGCGCGCGGGCGTCTCGAGCGCGCGCGCGCCGCGCGCGATCGAGACGCCGCCGCGCGTCGCCGCGCCGCGCGCGCGCGCCGCGCGGCCCCGATTCGTCGCGGTGGCGCGACGCGCGGGCGAAAGCGGCGACGCGAGACGACGACGACGCGTGCGCGTGCGCGCGTTCAAGGACTACCTCGACGCGGAAGAGAGCGGCGACGGCGAGAAAGAGGAGGAGAATACGACGGCGAAGGAGAAGGACGCCGCGGTCGCCGCCTCGGAGGACGCGACGTCCTCGTCCAACGAGGCGGATGCCGCGGACGCGGACGCGGAAGAGAAGAAGAAACCGGACGACAAGAAAGGCAAAGGCAAAGGCGGCGGCCTCTTCGGGTGGCTCCCGTTCGCGTCCGTGCCGTCCAAGGCGCAGGAGGCGCACCTCGCCGCGTGCCGCGACGCCGCGGACGCGGAGCCGGACAACTTCGTCCGCCAAGACGCGCTCCTCCGAGAGCTCGTCTCCGCGGAGAGATACCGCGACGTCGTCGAGCGCTTCGAGTCGCGGTCGCACGCGTCCGGCCCGGGCAGCGTCGTCGCGTACCTGACGTCCCTCGGGAAGCTCGACCTTCTCGACCGGTTCGACATGAAGACGCCGCCGCCGGCGCAGCTCTCGATGGCGGCGGCGACGGTGATGAAGCGAGAGAAGCTCACCGCCGAGCAAGCCGCGGAGGCGGTGGCAGAGGCGGTGGCGATCGGCGCGGCGACGAAATCCGAACTCCCTACGCTCCTGAGAGACCTCTCCAAGCGCGCGGAGGGGCGGAACGGGGTGATCAAGGTCCCGCGCGGCGCGTCCGCGGCGGCGCCGCTGCACGTCGTCATCGGCGACGGATACGGCGGGTCATCGTTCGGCCCGGACGGCGGAGGGCAACGCGCCAAGGGCAACGGCGTCGTGAACTTCATCTTTTACGGCGTCATGGCGTGCGTCCTGGGCAGCGCGGGGATGAGCGCGATGAAGACGCACGCGGCGAACGTGAACAAAGGCGGCGACGCGTCCGCGTCCGCGTCCGCGAGAGGCGGGGCGTCCTCGTCGTCGTCGAGTTCGAATTCTTTGATGCCCGGAAAGCCGTCGCTTCCCGCGCTCGGCGGCGCGGGGAGGGCGGGCGGCGACGACGCGCAGAAGAAGGGCGAGGGGAGCTCGTTCGACCCGAAGGAGTACAACAAAGACGCGCTCCCGGAGAAGAGCGTGAAGACGTTCAAAGACGTGTTAGGGTGCGACGAGGCGAAAGAGGAGCTCCAGGAGATTGTGGAGTACCTGAAAAACCCGGACCTGTTCACGCGCCTCGGCGGGAAGCTCCCGAAGGGCGTCCTTTTGTCCGGCCCGCCCGGCACGGGGAAGACGCTGCTCGCGCGCGCGGTCGCGGGCGAGGCTGGCGTCCCGTTCTTCTACCGCGCCGGCAGCGAGTTCGAGGAGATGTTCGTGGGCGTGGGGAGCAAACGCGTCCGACAGCTGTTCGCGGCGGCGAAGAAGAAGACGCCGTGCATCGTCTTCATCGACGAGATCGACGCGGTCGGGACGTCGCGCAAGGCGTTCGAGACGCAGTCGCGAAAGACGTTGAACCAGCTTCTGACCGAGATGGACGGGTTCGAGCAGAACGAGGGAATCATCGTCATCGCGGCGACGAACATTCCGGAGCAGCTGGACCCGGCGTTGACGCGGCCGGGGCGGTTCGATCGCCTCATTCACGTCCCCAACCCGGACATCGGCGGGCGACGCGAAATCTTGCGGCATTACCTCGCGGACAAGCCCGTGGCGTTGGACGTGGACGTGGAGACGCTCGCGCGCGGGACCGCCGGGTTCAGCGGCGCGGAGCTCTTCAACCTCGTCAACATCGCCGCGGTGCAAGCCGCCGTCGCCGGCGAAACCGTCATCGACGCCGCGCGACTGGAGTGGGCCAAGGATCGCATCGTCATGGGCGTGGAGCGCAAGTCCGCGGTGCTCACGGAGGAGAGCAAGAGGCTCACGGCGTACCACGAGGCTGGCCACGCGATCGTCGCGTTGCGAACCCCCGGAGCGATGCCCGTGCACAAGGCGACGATCGTCCCGCGAGGCAGCGCGCTCGGGATGGTGACGCAGCTCCCGGATAAGGACGAGACGTCAATCACGCGGCGGCAGCTCCTCGCGAGACTGGACGTGTGCATGGGCGGGAGAGTCGCGGAGGAGCTCATCTTCGGCAAGGACGAGGTCACCACCGGCGCGCTTTCGGACTTGCAGCAAGCGACGCGGCTGGCGACGTACATGGTCGGCGAGGTTGGGCTCTCGTCGCTCGTCGGCCCCGTGCACGTGGACTCGATGAGCAAAGGCGGTCGGAGAGCGACGGAGGCGCTGGTGGACAAAGAAGTGGTGCAGTTGCTGCGGGATTCGCACGCGCGCGTGACGAAGCTGCTGACGCGGCACTCGCAGGATTTGCACACGCTCTCCGCGGATTTGTTGCAGCGCGAGACGTTGACCGGGGACGAGATCAGGGTCACGCTGAAGATGCCGCCGGCGTCCAAGCCAACGCCGCCGGCGTCGAAGAAGAAGTCGAGCGACGCGGCGGACGGCGGCGGCGGCGTCGGCGTCGGCGCGAAGGACGCGGGCGAGGAAGCGAAGAAAGAGAAGGACGGCGACGGCGACGCGATCGCGGACGGTCTGGTCGGGATCCCAGGGCTGCTGCCGGGGATCGAGCCCGTGGACTCGGAGAAGGAGACGAAGGTGACGGCGTGAACGCGCGCTCGTCGCGGCATTTTTTTACGAGAGATTCTTTCGAACCGAAATACGAGTCGTACGGAGGCGCGATACCGTACCTCCGCGCTGCGCAGACTAGACTACGATGTCAGCACGTAGCCCTACCGGTTCGGCTGCTTCTCCAGCTCCGTGAGCGCGAGCGCGATCTCCGACCCCACCCGCGCGTTGTTCTTCACAAGCGCGATGTTGCTCTCTAAGCTCGCGCCCTTCGTGAGCTCCCGGACGCGTCTCAGGGTCGTTCCATACAAAGCGACGTCGGGGTGGAGTTGAAAGGCGTCAGATGGAGTTGAAAGGCGTCGAGGGCGGGGATTGAAAGCGAGGTGTGGGCGGAGAGAGACCCCGGGAAAAGTCCTTAAGGAACGGCGTTCACCACGCCAACGCGATCGTATGGGGACCAGTGTAAGATAGAACGCGCCTCAAGAGAAACGGCGTCACGTCCCTCCCTCTGACGTTTTTCGCCTCCGCCTCTCTCAGCGCCTTCCCGATCGCGGCCTCTACCTTGCCGCCCTTCGCCTCGTCCTCCTCCGGGATCGGCACCCCGAAGACGGTGCCGCCGAGGCCGAGCCGCTTCCCCGCGAGTATCAGCGCGGCGGCCTCGGCGGGGGTGTCTACCCTCGTCGGCGCGCGGCAGCCGCTGTTTCGCGTGAAAAACGCCGGGAAGTCATCCGCGCCGTACCCGACGACGGCGGCGCCGTGCGTTTCCAAAACCTCCAGCGTCTTCGGGATGTCCAGGACGCTCTTCGCACCCGCGCATATCACCGCCACGGGGGTTCGTCCGATCTCCGTCAGATCTGAGGAGACGTCCATGGAGTTCTCGCCGCCGCGGTGGACGCCGCCGATGCCGCCGGTGACGAACACGGAGACGCCGACTCTCGACGCGAACAGCATCGTCGCGCTGACGGTCGTCGCGCCCGTCGCCTTCGCGGCGACGCACGCGGCGATGTCCCGCCGCGATACTTTAGCGGCTCTCGGCCCCAACTCCGCGAGCTTCGCGAGGTCCGCGTCCGGGAGGCCGACGCGAGGGACGCCTTCGACGATCGCGATCGTCGCCGGCGTCGCGCCGCGCGCGCGGACGATCGCTTCCACCTCCCTCGCCATCGCGAGGTTCTCCGGGTACGGCATCCCGTGCGAGACGATCGTGGACTCGAGCGCGACGACCGCGCGGCCATCCGCGAGCGCTTCCGCGACCTCGGGGGAGACGACGACGCCGCCGGTGGAGATGGCCCACGACGACGGCGAGGCGCGCGCGAGCACGCCGTCCGGATCCTCGTCCTCGTCGTTCGAACTCGTCGCGATCGCATCGTTCGAGGAGGGGGACGCCGCGGCCGTCGGCGATCGAACGAGCGATGCGGAGGAGGAGGAGGGGGAGGGGGGGGAGAGGTGGTGCGCGAGCGACGCGACGCGACGCGACGATCGCGTCGCGCGCTCCATATCGCCCGGCGTCGACGCGAGTGGCCGGCGGCGGCTCATCATCTTAAAAGTCTACCTTCGTGTCTACGAGTACTCATAGTCCAGTTACAATCGTTTTTCAACCATCCCTCGGTTTCAACATTTACTCGCGTCCCCTTTCAACTGACCGATGCACGTGTTTTGTATGGAATCGCAGGCGGAGGCCGTGGGCGCGTTCCCGGCGTGGCCCACGTTGGCGGAGCTTTTCCCCGCGGAAGGCGGCGATGACGACGGTCACGGTCACGGTCGAGAAAGCGGTCATCGCCACCACCACCACTGAGACGGAACAGGTTACATACGGGAATCGGCGATCGACGCTCTCCGAATCGTGGTTCCCTAAGTAAATTTGTCTACCCTGTATCGCCGCTCAGGCTCCGCAAGTTCGCATTTTCCTCGAGACTACTTTCGTATGAGTATTTGGACAGTCCGATACTGTAGATCTCGCCCCCCCGTCCGTCCACTCCGAGATGCGCGCCGGCGCCCGCGCCTTCAGGGTCCTTCTCCTCCTCCTTCTCGTCCTCTTCCTCGCGACCGGCGGCGCGGTCGCGAGGGAAACCATCGTGGACGACGACGACGCCTCGGCGGGCGGGCTCGAGCCTTTCGCGGCCGCGCCCGCGGAGGAGGAGGACGCCCGCGTGTCCATGCCAGGTGGCGTCTCCGCCCCGCTGCCGAGTTCCTCCCACGACGCGTACAGAGAAGACGCGCTCGCGGCGGTGGAGCACCTGAACGCGGTGCAGCTCGACGGCGCCAAGGTGTCGCCTCGATACGCGCTCAGAGACATCATAGAGGTGAGGAGCCAAGTCGTCGCGGGGACGATGGTCCACCTCAAAATCGCCGTAGGAACGGAGGACGACGAGGGCGAGCCGCGGGCGGCGGCGCGGAAGACGTGCGACGCCAACGTGTGGAGGAAGCTGGACGGCACGAGGGAGGTCACGAGCGCGACGTGCGAGAATTGCGACGCGCGCGACGCGTGACGCGGGGTGTGTGTGTGGTGGGATCAGCTAGGCGGCCGCGCCGCGGCGGAGAAGTAACAACGCAACGAACGATTTCGCGACGAACTGAGATGACCGAACGACGTAGTTCTAGTCGCCCCCCAAGTCGTCGTCGTCGTCGTCCTCGAACCCCTCGTCCGCTTCCACAGCCTCCGACATCTCGTCGTCGTCGTCATCGTCCGCCGCCCCGCCGCCGTCGCCGCCGTCGCCGCTCATCGCGAACGTCACGACCTCGCCGAGGAACAGATACGACAACACCGCGCCGACGGCGAAAAACACTGACGAGGGTCGTTCCGTACGAAGCGACGTCGGGGTGGAGTTCAAAGGCGTCAGATGGAGTTGAAAGGCGTCGATGTGTGTCGGGATTGAAAGCGGCGAGGGGTGGCGGAGAGAAACGCGCGCGGGCGAAAGTCCTTAAGGAACGGCGTTCACCACGCGAACGCGCTCGTATGGGGACCAGTGTGATGGATGAGAACGCGCCCGAGTACCGCGATCGCCTTCGAAACGCGATCTCCTTCGCCGTGAGCTTCTCCTCCTTTCCGCCGCCGCTTCCCCACCACCCACGCGCGCGGTCTCTCTTCGACGCGGTCGGGGGCTCGATCCACGCGCTGGAGTCCAGCGCGTGCGCGGCGTCGCCGCCCTCGCCGAGCGAGGACCCGTCCTCGCTCGGGAAGAGGCGCCGGCTGATTAATCGACGAGGTTCGGCGTTCGGGGGCGCGTCAGTCGAAGTTGAAAGGCGCGATTGGGTGGAGTTGAAAGGCGTCAGGCGGAGGAGTTGAAAGGCGACGAGGCGCGCGGCGGAGAGAAACGAACGCCGGGAGAGAAAGTCCTTAAGGATCCGCGTTCCACCACGCGGACGGGGTCGTATGGGGACCAGTGGGAGCGGGACGCGCCTCATCTCTTCCACGTACGTCACCAGCCCCGGGTGCTTTTTGAGCTCCACGCGAAGCGCGTCCCCGACGGGCGCGCGCGCGTGGTAGCTCAGATGCGCGAACACGAGCGCGTCGAGCGACGTCGGGGTTTTGCCAAAGAAAAACGGCCCGCCGCTGTCCATCAGGCGTCGTTCCAGCGCGGCGTACGCGTCGCGGACGCCGCGCGTCACCCCCTCCTCGCCGCCCTCCCAAAACGATCCCCCCGATGATCGATGTCGACGCATCACGCCTCTCCGCCACAGCCACGGAAGGATGTAGCTCATCGGCGCCGGGAACGCGGCGCCGTACGCCTCGCGCGTGTGCGCGCGGAACCGGTCGCGATCGATCCACGTGTAGTACGTCGTCGCCGTCGCGAGGCGCGACTCCGCGAGCGCGAGAAACGCGACGAGCGTCGCGCGGTCGCTCTCGGAGACGGCCGCGTTCGAATCGAGGTCCGCGACCTTCGCGCGCAGGTGCGTCGTGATCCGCGCCATCGCGAGCGAGCCGTCCGCCTTGCACGCGGCTCCCCCGGCGTCATCGTATGCGTCCGCGCCGTCCGCGCCGTCCGCGG